TGGGCTTCAGCTTCCCCGTCCAAGCAGGGTGGCATTGCCTACAACCTTCACAGCTCGCCGTGCGTGGCTCAGCAGACTGCTGAGCAGAGTCCTCGATCAGAGAGCAGACCTGTGTCGGCACGAGCCCGGCACAGCGGTTCTCATTCTTGATGGGACACCAGAGACACCAGCAGAGCATTAGTTTATCTAGTTAAGATGGGCTCTCACACTGTAGACCAGGCTGGCTTTAAACTCATCATGTAGCCCAGTCCAGGCTGGCCTCATACTTGCAGCGATCCTCCTGCCTCAGCCTCCCAAGCGCTGGAATTATAGGCGTGCTCTGCCACACTCAGCCAAGAACATTATTGAAAAATTCAAGAAAAAATAAAGCTCCATATACATAATAGAATGCAGATTATACAGAATGTCAAAATATAAATTTGCAAAAATGATAATATGTGAAAAATTCACAGTTTATGAAAGAAAAAAATCTAATGCCATGAAATGTGATGTGAAGCCCTAATAAGAAAGTTAAAAATTAAAACAAATCACATCTAACCCAATAGATTGTTCAAGATTAAAATTAATGATACATGTTCTTAAAAGTACAAACGAATGAGTATTCCTATACTGAACTACTGGCATTATAAATTGTTAGATGATATTTAAAGAAACATGGAAATTTCTATTAAAACTAAAAATCTCTACACCTTAGCTTCAACAATTCTATTCCCTGATAAATAACCCAGGAAAACATTTGCATATGACACACTGAAAAACAGCAGAAAAATACTGTAGAATTATCTGTGACTTCACAACACAGGAATGCCCCTAGATATCCCAAATAATGGGGCGGACAATAAAATATGAAACACTCATATTGAGACCTATACTTTTGAAGTTAAGAGTTACACACTTGCCCTATACTTATCTGCATGCATTTATCTCAAAATACTGCATTCATAAAAACATATAGCAATTCCTACCAAGTAGCTAATAAGTAACTGTTCAGAGTTGTTTCTTTCAATGTGGATTGAGTGTTTAATCCCCTTGAACTTCTCTGTGGAGCAGACACTATTTTATTCCCATTTTACTTCTCTGGAACACTGAGAGGTCGAAGCCAAGTCCTGGCTTCCCTGAGTCTGTGATCTTGAGTGAGGCACGGGCCACCAGAGGATGTGCAGGGTAGGATGCTTGTCATCGCAGTGTCCTAAGGGAACAGAGGGAGCTATGCTGAGCTTGTCATAGGGTGGCCAGAGCCAGAGAGTTGGCAGACACCTGGGGCTGGAGGAGATCAGAAAAAACTCCAGCTTTAGCTACAGTGTTCTTTTTTTTTATCTTAAGAAACAACATGTTAATGTGTCATTTTTTAATCTATACATACAGGGAATGAAAGAGAAAGAAAAAGAATACCTGGAGATACACACACGCACACACACACACACACACACACACACAGATGGAAGACTGGGGCCACTGTGTTGGGCACGAGTACACAGGGTGGGCCCTGGAATCCGAGATCCGGGCTTCAAATGCATCCCCGCTGCACGTGAGCTGTGCCGCCTTACGCAGTCATCCAGCCGCCTAGAACTTGACGTTTCTCATCCAGGAAATGAGACCCTCCAGTTCAACGAGGCTCAACAAATCCACCAAAAGGAAACCCTCAGTCTGTATGGTCATTTTGTGCTCATAAAAAAAAAATGCGGAAAAGAATCAAGATTCTTGATAAACTGAATATTGTGTGCGTGACTTACCATGTAGCACGGTTCCACAAATGCTGGAATCTGGTTCTCTCCCTGAACTCAGCACTTCTACTGCTTATATTTTAACTCCTAGTTTTACCAGGATGTTAATCAGTGTGTAAGAGATCTGCAGGCCTGTGCAACTTCACAAGCAACTCTTGAAATGCATCTGGGGAAAAATCTATACACACTAAAAACCATGTTTTGTTAACCAGCCAGGACAGCGCTCTGCTTTCTCCTCCATAGAGTGGGTACAGGGTCACTTCAGTGACTCGGGCAGGTGAGGTCTTAGGTGATGCTCCAAGGAATTCACCGAATGCCACACACACACACACACACACACACACACACACACACACACATGCATGTGCCCATGTGCACACCCACACACCTCTTAGGGGCATTTCATCCAGTTCTAGAGACTGAGTTACAGTACTGATTGTTTATTTATTAGATAGCAAACATCTGGTCCATTTACTATTATTTTTTATTTTTGGTGGAACTGGGGATTGAACTCAGGCCCTTGCGCTTACCAGGCAAACACTTATTCTACTGAGCCAACTCTCTGGCCCCTATTTCATCTATAGAAGAAAATGTGACTAGCTGCTTAACAATGCAATACTTTGCCAGCCAGCCAGTCCTCTGTCTGCCTTAAGCATGCTGCTCACTTCCAGTCAGGCACTCACCCACCCTGTGGCTTTGGAAAGCCAGGTTCAATTATTTTCAAAAACTTTTCTTTTACTTTTTTCCTTCACAGAAAAGTGATTCCTTTGTCCCCTTCCCCACCGGAGTCTTTGGAAGGAACTCCAAGTGAAGCCTGCCCCGTAGGAGCAGGAGCTGCGTTCTCCTCGCTTGCAGATGTAGTATCTACTTAAATTACTTGGGTTTCTTCTGTTGATTCTCCACCCACTTAGATATTCATCCCTAGACTGGACCTTATTAAAGAATGCAAGGTGAAAGATTTCTTTTCGAATCTGTGGCAAAGAGGGAAAGAATTCTACTTTCCTTTGCTCATATTTAAGTGTAATTTCATTCTCACTCGAACAATTAGTGTATATAAAATTCTACTAAGGATATAAAGAAGGCAGAGATAAAAGTCCCCTGCCTGGAGAAACCATGCTCGGGCTCGACAGGAAGGAGTACACGGAGCACCACGAGTTCATCATGTAAGGGAAAGGGAGCCTGCTTTGGGGACACACACACAGAAGGGTGTGACCCAACCCAGGGACACCAGGGAGGAAGGGACTGACCAGGCCAGGGCTAAGTGGGCAACACGGGCAGCCCTGCAGAGCTTGCCCTGGGCACTGAAGCTCTCTACAGCCCTCGGAAATTCTCAGCAATGTACCTGGGTTTGTGTTTGGTGAGCAAAGTCCCAGCGGGCAACAGGGCACTGCCACACACCTGCTGCCTCGGTCACATGGCATCGACCTCCCCTGCCCTGCGATGCCTTCCCGGCCTCCCAGCTGTCTGGCACCATGGATGCCCTGATCTCACCCTGCCAGCTGGGCTCCCTCTGCCCAAGGAGGTGCCCAGTGGCATGGTGCTGGCGGGGAGGCTCCTGTTCTGTATGTTTTCTCCACCTTAAGGTGCTTGGGCCTTTCCTTGACTCCTGCTCTGGGACTGTAACTGCCTGCGGGCTCACAGGTCACCGTGGGGTGGTGCAGAAGCTGGGGGCAGGGGAGATGGACTTGCTCACTGCCAGCAGACACGTGGCTGTTAGTCACCAGCAAAGGGGCCCACAGTGACCAAGAAAGGAGGGGACAACAAAACAGCCAATCAAAGACACCATACCAAGGAAGCCTGGTGGCCCACAGCTCTGATAAACCGAGGCCTCTGGACGGCTAAGGCAAAAGGGTCACGGTGGCCAGTGCGAGTTAGCAATGGAGTAAGACCCTCTCAAAAGAAAATCCTAAGGGGGACGGGCTCAGGCTGGAAACCAGTGCACAGGCTGTGAGCTCCAGCTCCAGGGTTAGGGAGACAAACACACAGAATGCCAAGAGGAGGAAGAGGCTGTGGGTGAAACTGGCTTTTTGGTTTTATTGTCTCGAAAGCACTTGCTTTCTACTGTTTTGTTGTGTTTTTGGTGTGCATTTTCGTGGTGCAGTGAGCCCTGAAAATTATAAAGCCAGTCTTGTCCAGGGCAGGGCTGAGTAGCAGTACCGAGGTCGGACTCTTGAGTTGAATGCCTGCATTCCAACAAAATCTCCAGCGTTTACAGCTGGGCACCCTCGGGCACCTTAATGAACCTCTCCAACCTTTTGATTCCTTCCCTGAAAAATAGGGACCAGAAGCCCCTGCCTCAGGCTACTTTTATGAGTGAGAAGGGTGTCCTTAAAGCTGCCTTCAGGGAGAGACTGCCCCTCTCACCTCTGTTCCATGGCTCCTCGAGACAGCGCCTCCTCCTTACCCTGTCTGTGTCCCCCCAACTTCCGCCAAGGACCGAGAATGTCGAGGTTTCCACAGCGACCTCATCACATTCTGCCGGGTCTTAGAAGGGGTGGGTGGGCAGGAGCAGATGCCTACTGAGCACCGCGTGTAGAGCTCTGACACGAGCAGACGCGTACCGATGCGCAGCGTCCCGACACCCAGCCTGCCCCTCAGCTGGAGAAAGCGCTAGAAATGTTCGAAAGCAAACCAAGGTAGTGTAGGAAAGGCCCAGCGGAAGCAATGGCAAAGCACTTGGGAGAAGTCTACACTAGGAAACCGTGCCTACCTATATGCTAGGAAACCGCGCCTACCTGGAGCCCAAGCCCGCGTTCGCTGAATTCTGTTCCCAGATCTCAGTAAATGTACTTAAAACTGAGTCCACAGCCCCAAGCTTCCTGTACATATCGGCCATAGAATCTCTTTAATTATACCTATCGGTACCTTGAAAAATATTAGCTGCTCCCTGGAGCATAGTTTGGGGTTAATCTGCTGGAAGGAAGGGATGGTATCTTATTTATTGTCTTATGCCTAGACATAGAAGATAATCTCAATTTAGCAAACAAACAATTAATGCTTCTGTCACTTCATTTCGTGCAGGCTTCCGCTGCGACCCTGGGCTGCACGTACCTGGCAATTCACAAACATGATTTGTCATAGGGTCCCTGTTGAAGTTAAGCAGGCGGGAAATAACAGCACCGGAGTGTGGTAGAGCTTTAAGAGACCAGGATTACTAAATTCACACAGTGGGCTCACCAAGGGGCAGAGGGAAAGCCGAGGCACCAAGTCTAGGTTCTCTGCTGCTTTCACCATCTGGCCAGGTGGCATCCAAGACAGGTGGGACAAAGCACTCACCTCGAATAAGCGCAAGACTTTGGCCAACGCACCCACTTCTTCTTTGAGGGAGAAGATCAGCGAGATGGCGCTGTTTGGGCTGGAGTTGTCCTCGATATAGCTTGTTTCCTGTAGAATTAGATGCACTTGATTAAAACCTTTTCAAAATTCTTCCCACGAAACCTCCAAGGAAGCAGCAAACAGGACTTTTTCCTAGCAAAGCCTTGGAATTCAGTAAACTCCGTGTATTCTACGTGAAAGTATATAATGTGTAGAAGAGAAGGGAGTCAAGGAGAGGGAACGCTCAGTGGTACTCTTGCATCCACTCTCAATTTAGAAGGCTTTGATTATTTACAGATGTCCCCAGCCAAACCCAGGAACTTAATACTCTTAATGAGCACTTACTAAGTGTCAGGCACTATTCACTCTGTCCCTTTGAGAGATGCAAAGGTGGACAAGGCAACGCTCCTACCCTGCAGGAGCTAAAATCCTAACTTCATGGACGCATTTGCAGTGAACCCAAACACACGTTGAGCCAACATAGTGTAGCCCTGAGAGGGCCCCAGAAAACACCGGAAGTGTGTGTGGAAGGCACGTAGCACATTTACAGGCTTTGGAATCCCGAGACTTGAGCAGGAACCTTTTCTCTTCTAGTTCCCCAGGAAAGGGCAAATCTTCCAGCCTTCCTGGCCCCTTGGATATAAAATCACACTGATCATAACTTTTATCAAAACAAATTCAGGTGATGAAAAAGAAAAAAGTTTCGAAAGAATATGGAAGAATGTAAGACAGCCATTTGCTGAAAAGGAGCCGTGAGTCACTTGGAGGTCACCAACGACCTGTCAGAAGCTGGTGCCTGTAAGCACACAGCCAAGAATGCCCAGCATCACCTCACCCTGCGCGCGGGTGACAGCCGCTCATGCGCCGAAGTTGGCAAAGCACTTGCCCGCATGTTAAACATAAAGTCTTTTTCCAAAAAGGATGTGGGTGCCACCAACGTACACAATGTTCCTAAAAACTAGGAAGGAAAAATGTGCGTGACAATCACCCTTTTGTAAGCAAGTTAATGAATTAACAGAGTGGATGTGACATCACCTCAAAGGAGGGTGCCGTAGGGGCAGATTCCTATTAGTGACTGGGATAATAAATGCCGCATCTGTGCTGAGGCCCCTCGGGAAAGCGTTTTTCTTTTCTAATTCTGAAAATTCAGATTTTCGTAGACCCTCATGTGAAGCAGGAATGTGCAGACAAACCCAGTGTATCAGCAGTGGAGTCAGGCTGTGCTTCAAACAGATTAGAAGACCCGGACTGGGCAGGTAGCTCAGAGGCATAAGTGCATGCTTCGCAAGCACAAGGTCCTGAGTTCAATCCCCAGTATGAATAAATAAATAAATACATAAATAAATAAGAAGGCCCAACAAACTAATAAATCCCTATTTAGAGCATGATTCTATCTTTGTAAAAGCAACCGAATGTACCAGCTAACAGGAGCCGATCGTGTCCCAGGCTAATGTTAAAACAGGCACTTGAGCTGGGTTGCCTCACTTCACTTTGAAGACAGTCTAAAAGGCAGGTGCTGTCATCCAGCTCGGCCTTTTTGATGATGACAGGAGTAAGACTCAGAGAGTTCGGGCAAGTGGCCTTGAGGGTCACAGGGCAGAAGCAGAGTCTTGGATGCCTGCCTCCTGCGCCCGAATTGGAGCCTGGCTCCCTCAGCTGCGCAGGAGTCTCTGACCTTGGCCTCCTCCTCCTGCCACAGAGCTCTGAATCCCTAGTGCTTCCTGCTTGCCTCAAAAAGGCAAGGACTTCTCTGCCTCTGCTTCACTTGGCCTCTTTCCTTTCTCCAGCACACCTACAGGGAAAGGAAGCTAATGCCCCACCTTGATCAACAGGTGCCAGCGGGGGCAGCTGGATACACACGCGCCAATGAGCACCGAACCCGTCCCCGAAGCCCCCACCCCACTCTTGCACACGTCCAGCCGGTCACCAAGCCCAGCTCCCCCTTCTCCAGAAATGACTCTTCATGTCCCAGCCTTTTCTTTGTTTCCATTGCCATTGTGCGAACCAGCTTGGGGGTCTACATGGACCCCAACTGAAAACAACTATGGCCTGTCCTCCTGCACTTTATTTATTTATTTTTTAAATACAAAATAGCAATAGAAAAAAAAGCATAAATGATACAAGTTTTCATTAAACAAAGTAGTAAAATTCAACAATGGTTGCTGTATTACATGATGCTATCTTCAAATTAGTTGTTAAGATTGCCAGATATAAACAGGTAAGATTCGTTTAAAGAAAACAAAACAATAATAAAGAAGTTATAAGAAATTCAAAATAAGACAAAATTTTTTAAAAAAAATGACCAGCCGAAATCAGCAACACAATTATCCAAACTATCCTGCATATATACATGAACATATCTTTCTTTCTCCTTTCCTTCGTCCTTCTCCTCATCCCAGCTTTCCCTTCCTACTGAACAGCTTCTTTCCTTTTCCCAGTATCTGTTGTACCTTTTAGATTTTAATTATTCTTTCAGGCTTGCACACTATTGAGAAAACACGATGTTTGCACATGTGGGTCTGTTTCATTCCACCTAACTGTACAGTCTAGCTACATCCATTTATCTACAAAAGTCTCAAATTTAACTTTTTTATAATTGAAAAATACTCCATTGTGTTAAAATACCACATCTTCTTTTTCCATCCCTCAGTTGCTGGGCATCTGGGTGGCTTCCAAGATTTAGCTATGACAAGTCGCGCTGCTGTAGACATGGCTGCACGGATAGCGCTGTGGCGTGATTCTTCGTACGCGTGCTAAACCACTCTGGACGGTTTTAATTGTAGAAAATTTCAAAATCACTGATGAACACACAGACTGTGCAAAAAGTATGGTTTTCCTCAGGCGTGTGAGCACGTTTACATTTACCCGGTGCTGAGGCACTACAGCATAGCATGGTCCCTGATGCCACTACTGCCGCAGACTGGGGACATCCTGCTGCCAGGAGCCGCGCTGAGCACTTCAGCAGTTAACGGGCGTCATCTCTTGCACCAACCAGCTCTTCCTGGAGGGTTTGCGTGGGACATGCACCGGTCCGACCAGGTTGGCGCCCTTCCTTTGGGAATCAAGGGCAGACCTTTGAATCCCCAAGTCTCCGGGGCTTGTCCAAGAGCCCCTGGCTAGTGAGCAGCAGAGCGGGACTCGAACCCAGGCCCCACAACAACAGCGCTCTGAACCTGCCCCTGGTGGCAGATTCTCCTTGTCACAGCATGGAGGACTTGAAAGGAAACGAAGCTTATGGAAGTTTCTCAGATGGGCTGGCCCCTCGTGGGTTTGGATTCAGGAAGCTGACCCTGCTGGGCTGACCAGGCAAGCCTGGGCCTTCAGCAAAGCTCTTCCAAAGCATTTTTTCCATCGTTTCCTAAACTGTACCTAGCTTATTTCCAACCGATTTGTGAGGTAACATGCACACATACTGTATATTGAGGAGACATATGAGGTAGAGAAAAGTAACACAGAAACACAATAGAAGAAATAGGGCAGGAGGAAAGAGTTTTGTTAGGAACCAAAAATCAAAGAATTTCATTGATGGAAAAATGAACACATCATAGAAACACAGGATATTCTTTTGGTTATATATAAAATATGCATTCTGTTATCTTTAGAAAAGAACAGATTTCAAGGGCCGGGGAGATGGCTCATTAGAATAAGCGCTTCCCTAGCAAGCGCAAGGACCCGAGTTCAATCCCTGGTTCTGCCAAAAAGAAAAGAAAAAAGAAAGAAAAGAACAGATTTCAAATTTATAAGCCACACATTTTAGTAAGGATATGCCAGAAGGGTTAACTTTCAGTCTTGGTCTTTTCAGGGTTATGGGGAGGGATGTATTTGCCAGTGTGATCACGCACACACACACACACACACACACACACACACACACACACTATACACACTGTAAGATGACTAAAAGCAAGCTGCAGATCTCCTGCCTTGGTTCACCTTTCTGCAGCAAAGTACTAACTCCCCGTAGGCCTCTGCATCCCAGCTTCTTCCTGCCGGGCAGGCCTTAGGTAAAGAAGCGTACAAAGCTGCTGGATTTAGCTCAAGATTCAAACGCCAGCTTCACTTCCCAATACGATTTCTGAGCTGCTGGCCTCCAATCCCAATACTCTGTTCTTCATGGCCTTTATCCCTACACAAAATCGTATCACATGGCTCTTTCACTAATTTTTTAATCACTTGCCACTTGCATGAGGGTAAGTTTCTCCAGGGCGGAACCTGCTCCACCTGGCGTACTCAAGAGCTCAGGAAGTCTTGCATGCGTGCACAAAGGAGCTGAGTCACTCTGCAGGACAGCGGGACTTGTCACCTGAATAGAGTTTGGACAGACCCCAGGCCTGCAGCCCCTCGGGGCCTCCCATCATCTCTCTGTAGATTCGGAGCTGGAAGGCATCCTAGAGACTGTCTGCCGGGCCGTCCAGATAGCACCCTGAGCCTCCTTACTCCAAACATGTGGCTTTCCCAGTACACAGCCTCAGTGGCCCCAGGTGCACCCAGGACTCCCGACTGTACCCCAGCACCTCTCCCAGGATGGGGCTACCAGGCCCCAGCGCCTGACTCCTCTCCTGCCCTCCACGCTGGAGCTCAGGACATTGTGTGGAACAAACCCGTCGGTTCAGATCAGACACCCGGCAGCACTGTCCTGTGCTCCAGGAAATGTGCAAAAGATTTCCAGGCCTTATTTCATTTAATTCTCATACTGGCCCTAAGACATGGCTATTTTTATTTTTAATTTTCAAATAAACAAATCTGAAGCTCTGCAAAACCAAATACACATGTCAATGCCGAGGTTAAATCGGGCCTGCTCCACTCCCGCCTCCATACTACGGCCCTGTCGTTGGCAGTGACCACCTATAGGCTCGTGATATTTAAGTGCTATAGAAATAAGATTTTAAGCCCCTCTGGTTCCCTGGCCTGATGGTGGCCCTAACCCTTCCGGTGGTCGTGCGGAGGCCTCTCTCCCGGGATGCCCAAGGAGCTGGTGTGAATCTCCACAGTCTGCCCAGTGAGGCTCCTTTTGGAGCGGACCCTGCTTTCCCCTCCCCCTCCGCTGGTCCTTCCTGACCCTTTGGGCCCAGATGCTGGCTGTAATCTGTACCTCAGAGTCCAGAGTGACTTCCTGCCTGGGGTGAGGATGTACGGAAGTCACGTGTCAAAGTGAACTCTGTGACTGTACACCTCAAGAGACTGACAACCAACCTGGGGAGTGAATCCCACCCTGTCATTGTCCCCAAGTCACTCTGAGACACTCTACGCCTGGGTGAGGGAGCTGCACAGCGTCCTCTCTGCTGGGACCCTCGTTCCCAAGTCAGAGTAAGTTCCAAATCTTCTTTGTGCTTTCTCTTCTCCCCAGGCTAAGGAAAGGTGTGGTTTCCCACAATTTTCCCCCCTGGAAGAGACCTAGAAGGATCTGACCTTTGCCATTGAGAGAGAGAGAAAACAGAAGCAGAGAGTGGCAGTGATTTGTCCGAGGACACACAGCTCTGGACATGAGAACCCCAACTCCCAGCACAGTGCTCTTCATCCCTGAAAACCACAGGCACAGAGGCCCTTCCCCTTGGGGACAGTCATTAGGGGCAGTCCTATCTGATGACTTCCTGGCCATTCTCATCCTCTGCAAATGAAGTGAGACTTCTTGGTGAACTCATGAAAGCAGGAAACCAGTATTTTACTTCTCAGACCTCTCCCCCACAAATGCACAACTTGTATGGGAGACTAAACACTGAGTTATTTTTCCAACTTTTCAATTTTTATTTTGAAACAAGGTCTTGAAGTCACACACTTGCCTGGACTAGACTTGAACTCGGGACCCTCCTGCCTCAACCTCCCAGAATGCTGGGATTACAGGTGTGTACCACCACACTCAGCTAAGACTGCTTTCTCTCCAGGTAGCCAAACCTCCCCCCAGCCCCCGAGCAGCTGAGGCTCCCCTGGCTCACCTGTCCAAAGTCGGAGAATTTTCGGCCCAAGCCTCTGTTCTCCAGGACCGTAGCTGACATGCTAGCTGCTGGTGAGCTTGCTCTCTAGCACCAGGAGTCAGTCCCAGCAGGTCTGCAACCAGAGTGAGGTTGAGCATTTTAAAACCTGGCTAAGGGCGTGTCGTGCTGTGTCACCTGCAGGGTCACAGTCCTGGTGGGAGTTGTCCTGACGCAACAGGGTGAGAGGAGGGGCCGGGAGGGCCCAGCAAGTTGGCAGGGCACTTGGAAGCCTGGCCTGGACAGAGGCAGAGGCCAGAGACCCCAGGGTCAGCTTTGCCCAGCAATCAGACAGTTTGTCACGAAACGTATTCTCAGGCTCCTGGACCACAGGCTGCCGGCACCCGGATGAACCTACATCAGCCCGGTGCTAATAATCATGCGAACAAATTCCCTCCTCATTCCTTGTACAAATGCAGCCAAGATCCTAACTTAGATTTTTGTTCAGTCCCTTTTATTTTTTTTTATTTTTTTAAATTTATTTATTTATTTATTTATTTATGTGTGTGTGGCCAGCTCAGCCCACCAGGGGGCGGGGCTGGCTGGCATGTGGTGCTGGGGGATTGAACCGCGGTCCCTGTGCTCTGCTTAGCTTAGCTTGTTCTAAGTAGGTGCTTTAGACCACTGAGCCATCTCACCAGCCCCCAGTCCCTTTTATTGACCCTTGCTGTGCTTTGTCTAGGGAAATCTATGCATTGATGATGTCATGGTCACTGAGTGCCACAGCTAAAAAGCAAAGGTAGGGGTCGCCTGGGTTGAAGTCAATCACAGATTTCACAGTCACTTACAGAGCCCTGGGGCCACTCAGAGGAGGCCAGCAGAGCCACCTGGCTGCGCTGGGTGAGAGACCAGGCGATGCGTTGACATCCAGCTCTGCTCCCCAGAGAGACCAGCACTCAGTGAGGCTTGGAAACTTGATAACAAACAGGACCGTGCCACGTGCCGGCTGGCCTTCCTGCCACGTGCCGGCTGGCCTTCCAGCCTCGGTGAGTACACACGGGAGACAGGGTGCCAGCAGCCTCCCCTGCCTCGTTTAAGTGCTGCCAGGCAGACAAACAGCAGGGCTCAGGCTCCTGCAGCAAGTGAAGCAGGCTGGGCTGGGAGCAGGGAGGCAGCCAGAGGAGGCCTCCTCCAGAGTGCTCTCAGGGAGCCAGGCCAACGCCACGTTTCTCAGCTATGGAATGGCTCTGACACTCGTCACCAGCCGGAGAAATGAAATACACTAAGAACGCTGGAAAGTTACTTTTAGGAGCGATGCAACATGCCCTTGGCGTCCAGCACCTGCTTAATATTTACCCAGGTGGGGTAAATGGGCTGTGAGACAGCAGGCCAATTACAGAGGCCGCTGGAAGCCCATCCCCGCCCCTCCCACAATTCTTTGACCTAAAATCCAAACATCTGCCGAAAACAGAAAAAATAAAGCCTCAAGCTTTGGATTAAAAACAAGTGGGTTCAGCCCCGGCCTTACCACCGCAGAGCTGCATCTTGGCTCAAGTCTGCCTTGCTGTCTAGGATGGGGCTTTGTGCACCAGGCTTTCTACTGGCTGCCAGGAATGCAGATGCAGAAAGCTCAGCGTCCGTCCCCAGACACACGTGGGTGTCCGGCCAGTGTTCCCCATGTCACCACAGACTTCAAGGCTGCTGACTGAGGAAGCCCCAGGCCTCGACTGTAAGCACACCTGGCACAGAGCAGGGGTGCAGCAAGTGACAGCAGGCAGTGACCGCCACCTGAGTGCTCACTGTGTTGGACGTGGCCGCAGGCTTTCCACGTGCGAGATGTCCTCTCCTGACACCCCCGGTGAGCAAGGCATAAAGGGATGCTGCAGTTGTAGAAATGCTATCTGAATCCTTGGCATAGATGAAGAAATGGAAGCCCGGGAGGCTTAAGTCATGCAAGCAACTGGACATAACAGATAGGTAGACATAAACACAATTATGGGGGGACGTCGGTACCTCACTCTCACAAGTAGATAGACTAAATGAAAAATCCACAAAGATCAGAGTTGTTTCACAACTTCTAACAAATAGAGTTTTTAAAAAATTTCCCACAGAATCCTTCTTAATATAAAACAAAGAGAAAACACATTTCAACCCTGCGATCCGCCAGCATGCCTTGTTTCTACAAGATGCAGGCCAGACTACAGGACTGCATAGCAAAGACTCTTAAAGAGCATTTGTTTGGGAGAAATAGAAGAAGCAGATCCCGGGAAGACCGGGCAAGTCCCGAAGTTGAGTTACATCCACGAGCGCTGCAGCAGTCCTCGTCTTTTCAGATCCTCGTATGTTTTCTTATTTACAACATTCCCCCTAGAGTCTTCCTGCTCTTCTTCTGCCTTCTCAGACCGCGATTGCCCTGAAGCCTCCTGCAGTTTCAGCGTGGCCCACAAGGGGGCAGCATCTTCAATCTGGGTTACATGACCAAGGTGAGCAGTATTTGGTATGCCCAGCTACCTCAGGCCATGAGCGGGCGGAGCATGACCCCTCGGTAGGTGCAGTTTTCACAGATCTCACCGTTGTAGCTGATATGTAGGCCGTGTGGCTTATATAGCCAGCAGGGGACAGGTTTGCCATCCCAGTCCAGGGGCGGGTTTGGGGGTTGTAAACAATCTTGTTCTCCTCATCTTTACTTTGGCTCTCACTGATCTACGCCTCGTCCTCTGCTCGCTCTTCTCCTGTCCTGGCTCGCTTGCCTTGTTCATTTTCATGAGCGAGCTGCCGCCGTTCCCCAAGAATCTCGACGGATTCGTACATCTGGGCTCCTAGGAAAGCAGTGTCTTTGTTCCTCTCAGTGTCTTGCTCGGTGCCCTTTGATTTGGGGCCTGTGGCAAAGAGGGAGCTGTCCAGTGATCCCAAGGACCTCCCTTTGGGGCTAAATAGCCTCTGCGCTCGCTCTTGGCTCTTCAGGTGCCACCGCATTTCAGTCCCAAAGCAAAGAGGGTAGACTTCAATCTGTCTAGACCCCAGAGGCCAGCTCCTCCCAGGAGGAAAATGCAGACAGGTTGAGATGGGCTCCAGCGTGGGCCAGGGCACTGCTTGTCTCTTTCGGCCATCCAGGAAAGGTGCCGTTCTCCTATTTCTTCTGAAATTTGGTCTGTACCTTCTCCAAGAGCTCATTCTGATCTTGAAGGGGCTTCCCTCTGTCCGTGCAATCCTGAAGACGCTTGAGCAGCATAGGAAGGTATCGCTTGTACTGTGCATCCTTCCTGTCTTTAGGAATGTCAAACTACTGGTCGAAGATTGACAGGTAGGTTCTCTGATGCCTTCAGGTTAGTGGACTTGAAGTAACAGTCATGGAGATCAAGGGAACGGCCATATCCCTGTTCATCTGTTAGCTCCACCAAGTCCTGTGCCTCCGCACTTGAGTTCTCTCGCGCTTTCAGGGGCTCCTCAAACGCCACTGACGTTAACACACGAATCTCATTTGGGCACTTCTGGTAGAATTCCTTTATTTGTTTGAGTCTGTTACAGAATTCAGCAAGTTCATTGGATCCTGAGGTAGCACTGAGCTCCCCCTTTCGTAGCCCATCCTGGTCATCAGACCGATCCCTCAGGTCCCCACTGACCTCCATGTACTACTGTGCACGGCCCAAGTGTGTTGGCAGAACTGATCTGGTCCTGGAGTGTGAACTTCTTAGTGAGCGTCTCTTCAGCAGTTACGCCCATGAGCCGCGCCTTCTCCCCATGGGAATACTGCCATAGCTCCTTGGCGGCGGCGCAAGTCAGGCCTCGAGTAGGTTGACTTCGTACACGTCTACGGGCTGCTCTATCAAACAACAAAGATACACTCATTCTTCTCAGAATTCATATTCTTCTAGCACGTGACACTTTCTTCAAAATAGACCACATATTAGCCAATAAAGCAAGCATAAGTAAATGAAAAATAACTGAATTTGTTCAATGCATATTGTCAGGTCATAATACAATGAAACTAGAAAACAAGAACAACAACAAAAATAAAACAAATTATGCAAAGGCAGGCAAACAAAACAGTGCGTCGTTAAATAAACAGTGGGTTGCAGAAGAAATAAGAGTTTCTAGAAGTAAACACTAGTGCCAGTAAAATATACCAGGACACAATAAAAGCAGTCCTAAGGGACAAGATTCTGGTTATTAGTGCTAACATCACAGAAATGAAGCATGACCCAGTTAAAAAAAGTCTAATGATGCACCTCAAGGTCCTAGAAAAAAAATTCAAGGTGACCATCCAGTATGCACGGGATGCCCAGTCAGGAAGCTTCCAGCAGATGGGAGAAGATGACATGCCAGAGAGCGCACCCGAGTCTTCGGAAGAACCAGAGTCAGAGGGGGAGGACGACTGACTGACTCAGGGCCAGAAGCCCCCAGCCTGTGCTGGTCCCCTGGCCCACAGGACTGCAGCCACCTCAGAGGGGGCAGCTGTTTGTTTAGCTGTGGAAGAGGACAAGGAAGGGCAATGAGGATTAACTGCCTCCATGAAGAATCAAACTTTGTCTGCAGGTGTCTCTCTGTAGACAGCAAGAGACTCTTAGAAAACAAGGGCCTTTAAAAGTTAAAAAAGGAAAGATAAAAAATAGAAAGGTCGAATCACAATGTCATGCTGAAATAAAAAGATTTTTAATAACTCCCTTGCAAACCTGTATACCAATAAAATGGAAAATTCAGGAAAAATGGATGGATTCCTAGATGCATAATTTCAAAACTGAACCAAGAAGGTATAAAACTCTGAATAATAAACAATGAAATCGAATATGCAGAGAAAGCTTTTGACAAAATCTAAATCCTGTCATGATCAAGACAATGAATAAAATAGGTCTAGAAGGACCTTTTCTCAACTTGATTAAAGTCATTTGTGACAAACATACTGCCAACATCATGTTAAGGTGGGAAAATTTGACAGCTTGCCCTTTAAAATCAGGAAAATAGGGGCTGGTGAGATGGCTCAGTGGTCTAAAGCACCTACTTAGAACAAGCTAAGCAAAAACGCAGCGACCGCAGTTCAATCCCCAGCACCACATGCCAGCCAGCCCCGCCCCCTGGTGGGCTGAGCTGGCCACACACACATACACACTAAATAAATAAATTAATTAATTAATTAAAAAAATAAAATAAAATAAAATAAA